TTTTTTGGCTTTAGCTTCGTTTGGAACTTACAGATACGTTCGAATGCGCGATAGATGGCCCCTAAAAGTATAGCTAATTACATAATTTCCTTTATAAACTTCGTAATTCGCACTTACTTTGTTCCCGCTTCCTGAAAACTTGCTTTGACTTGCTTCTTGCCGACTTACTTTGCAACTCCGCCCAAAGATACCGGAAATGTCGCGCTTCGCATTTGCAATGATGACCATGATCGTCTGAAAGGTCGGCTCATATAAATCGAGAATCTATAAATCTGAATCACTTATATATAAATTTCTAATGTCCGTGCGCCCGTCCGCCCGCCCGCCCGTCCGTCCGACCGGATCGCTGCGGGACCCCTAGGACCGGTTCGGACGGGTCCGGGAGCCCGGGGCGTTTTGGGATTTCGGGATTTCGGTGTATGGGATGTTGATTTACCCCCCGGGAGGGCCAGCGCTGAACCCCCGCGGAGCGGGGGGTCAGCGCTGGTCTAAAATATTTTTAAAGTTTCGCAGGGACTGGTTGCGTAGCAAAACTTTACCTTCGTTACCTGCACCATGGCGCTTCAAAGTATTGTATTCTACATTCGACGACGATAACCAAGCAAATCTAGTAACGTTTGTGCTAAATTATATATATTTTGAACAAAAATAAGTGGATAAGCCAGGAACTTAGCCGTTTTTTCGCAGAATTGAAAGGTGTTCACCATTCAAATGCGCCCGCGGGCGCGCCCCTGGTTGCGCCCATGGGCGCTTTTTGCGCCCCGAGCGGTTTTGCGCCCTTTTGCAAATTGCGCCCGGGGCGCAAAGGGTCCAGTTCGGGCGCGCTCGCGGGCGCTTTGGGTTTTCGGGCGCGCCCGCGGGCGCTTTGCTAACCGAGTATGGCCTGATCGTTTGTTTGTACCTTTTCAAGGCGTTTTTACTAAATTTTTCGGTATTTTTGATTTTAACCAATAGCTAAAGGTAATAGCAATTTTTCAGGGTACACCATGAGCCTGTCCCGAGCTGCCTGGCCCACCACGAAGCGCCACGTTTTCGGCGTCTTCTCGCGGGCTTACAGCTCCACCCAAGGTTTGTCTGCGAATTTTAAAATTACCTGTTTTTCTAGATGCCGACCTAGTCGTCATTGGCGCCGGCCCGGGCGGCTACGTGGCTGCGATCAAGGCGGCGCAGCTGGGCATGAAGGTAGCATTCTCCTCAAAGATCAAAAACTATTTTTTAGACGATCTGCATCGAGAAGGAGGCCACCCTCGGCGGCACCTGCTTGAATGTCGGCTGCATCCCGTCCAAGTCGCTGCTCAACAACTCGCACTTCTACCACATGGCCAAGCACGGCGATTTGGCAAGCCGAGGTGAGGAGCTGACTCTTTTTTGACGATAAAATCAATTGCGTTTTCACTTGAAAAGTCACATTTTCGACCTTTCATGCTCGTTTTATAGGAGTTGAGGTCGAGACCAAGCTGAACCTGCCCAAGATGTTGGCCGCCAAGGAGGGATCCGTCAAAGCGCTCACCGGAGGTATTGCCCAGCTCTTCAAGGCCAACAAGGTCGGACACATCAATGGACACGGAACGATCACTGGACAGAATCAGGTAGCTTTAAAAATATTGGATTCTTTATTTTTGTTTTAGGTTACCGTCAAGAAGAACGACGGCTCGAGCGAGGTGGTGAACACGCGCAACATCCTTATCGCTTCCGGATCGGAGGTTTGAAATTTTAGGGCGTTTTTTGGACATTTGAATTTATATATGTCTTTGTTTTTCATAATTCCAATTTATAGGTCACGCCCTTCCCCGGAATTACGATCGACGAAAAGACGATTGTTTCTTCTACCGGGGCCCTTTCCCTGAAGGAGGTCCCCAAGAAGATGATTGTTATTGGAGCCGGTGTCATTGGACTTGAATTGGTATTTTACGCCTCGTAATTTTCACTCCCGTTTTTAGGGATCGGTCTGGCAACGATTGGGAGCCGAGGTGACGGCCATCGAATTTTTGGGCAGCATTGGTGGAGCCGGCATTGACCAGGAGGTCGCTAAGAACTTCCAGGCACGTTTTTCAACGCTTTATTTTGGGTTTTCTATGATATTGGCTTCAAATTCACATTTCAGAGGTCCCTCACCAAGCAGGGCTTCAAGTTCAAGCTGAACACGAAGGTGATGGGCGCCACGCAAAACGGCAGCGAAATCAGCGTCGACATCGAGGGCGCCAAGGACGGCAAGAAGGAGCAGGTATTTTTTATTGAGAAAAACTTTTTAATTTTTCACGTCTTTCATTTTTAAAATTTCACCTGTTATTTGATTTTCAGCTCTCTTGCGACGTGCTCCTCGTCTCGGTCGGCCGACGCCCGTACACGAACAACCTCGGCCTCGACTCGGTCGGCTTGACCCTGGACAACCGAGGTAAACTATTCGTTTGCAGCGAAAAATTCTGGTTTAGGCCGAATCCCCGTCAACGAGCGCTTCCAGTCGAAGGTGCCGTCGATCTACGCCATCGGCGACGTCATCGAGGGCCCCATGCTTGCGCACAAGGCCGAGGATGAAGGTATCGAATTTTTAGTTTGACAAACATTGGCTAGTTTTCGTTTCCTGAATATCTTTTCATAAATTTAGCTTGCTAAAATTATTTTTTTCTTGCAACGAGCCAGGTACAATTATTGGGATCAAAGTTTGTTAGTTATTGTTTTGCTTTTAACTGTGAAAGCTGCTGAACCTTTTTATTTCATTGCTGGGCTTTTCCAGGCGTATGGAACAAATTCTGTTTCCGGAGTAGATAACGCTAAAGTAATTCTGTAATTCCACATCTAGTCGGTTTTTGGAAAAGGAATTCTAGGAAAACTTACTCGAATTCAGAAATTCTGCGGAAAGTGAAGTTAAGAAAACTTATTGTAACTAAAATATCGTTATTTTTTTCAGGTATTCTCGCCGTCGAGGGCATCGCTGGCGGTGCCGTGCACATTGACTACAACTGCATCCCGTCCGTCGTCTACACCCACCCCGAGGTCGCCTGGGTCGGCAAGGCCGAGGAGCAGCTGAAGAGCGAGGTTTGTCGTTTCCTCGTAAAACTTTTAATCTAAATTTTAGGGAGTCGAGTACAAGGTCGGCAAATTCCCGTTCGTCGCCAACTCCCGCGCCAAGACCAACAACGACCAGGTAAACATTATTTTTTTACCTTATTTTCCTGATTTTTAGGAGGGCTTCGTGAAGGTGCTGGCCAACAAGCAGACCGACCGTCTGCTCGGCGTGCACATCATTGGGCCGGTGAGGAGTTTAGTTAGATTCTAAAATTTGGTTTTTTTTTCAGAATGCCGGTGAAATGATCGCCGAGGCGACGCTGGCTTTGGAGTACGGCGCGAGCGCTGAGGATATCGCCCGCGTCTGCCATCCCCACCCGGTAAGCTTTATCTCCATTTTTTAGCTTTGTAAGGTTTTGTATTGCTGTCATCGGGGCGAAAACTTAAAACCGTAGGAAGCCCGCTGCTTCCTTTTTGCGGAGAAGTAACACTTCAAATTCACGGGAAAGTTTTTTGCGGACCTATGGCCTTTATGAAATCGCATCAGAATGCTTTTCTATGTCCACCAAAACTTGGTATTCTACGAGGTTCGATGGGGGTACAGTTTACGTAATAATAGGTACGATCGACGATTTTAGAGAAAAAAATGGTTGTACCTTTTTGGCCAGAGCTGTTCTGAAATTCTAGAAACCGGTTTCGGAATCAGCAAAAAAATTCTGCGCAAGATATAGTTTTTCTTAAATTTAATAGACAGTATTCTAACTATAAATTTCCTTTCCAGACGCTCTCCGAGGCCTTCAGGGAAGCCAACTTGGCCGCCTACTGCGGCAAGGCGATCAACAGCGTCTAAGCAACATACTCGACAATTCCCGCCCCGGCTCCGAATCGATTGCCTTTTCGTCGTTATCACAGCAATTTAGTCAATCTCCGCCCTCCCGCACGTTGTTCCGGTTGTTTCCTTAGATCCACAATTTTTCGTCTAAACAACCCGTTGCTCGATTGCTCTCGATGTGCCCCTTCTGTTTTTATCCTTTTAGTGATATTATCTATTTGTGTTTTCTAGGCGACCCTCCCCGTGGTAGTGTTGAGCATATAGTCAGTCAGTGGTTCTCCTCTCTCCTCTCTCCGTCGCAACTTCCGTTTAAAGAGACTTGTTATGTATTCCCCGTCGTCGTCGTGTCGTCCCCTCTGGTTTCTTACTTGCGCCTCCTGCGATTTCTGCTGGCCCTCCATGCCGGCCGGCTTTAATAGATAAATTTTTGCAGTTTTGGATGAGTATACGGTTTTTTGTTGGCACTTCATGATACAGCAACGGGCACGATACAGTAACGTGTTCCGACGCCTAGAACGTGCCTCAATTCCGCGCGGAGAATTCCGTTTTCATGTCCGGACTTGTAAAAGAGGGCACGCCTCGCTTTTCACGTGTTTCGTTATTTTTTACTGCAAATTACCAATTTTTTACTCTTTGCTGGGCTACTTTCACGATCCTCTAGTTTCTTTTTGGGTTTATCACTCTTTTTATCGAATATTGTTATAGAAGAAAGAAAGAACAAGGGAATTTAGCGCAATTTTTCGCCTGCTATTTCTGTCTTCTATGTGGTTTTACGTGTTTCGTTGTATTTTACACTTTTTTTAACGACTTCAGCGATCCTCTCGTTCCTTTTAGAGTTTATCAGCACTCTTTTCCCTTAGTTTGGCTGCCTAGTAATTTTTTCATAGTCCTTCGCCTTTGTGACTCCCAACTTTTGTTTGATTTGCTGGTTCATCCCTTCTTTCTACTCCTTTTAGAACCACTTTCGTGCTTCTCTCGCTCCTTTTTTCGTTTCGCCCTCTTTTGATCGACTTTCACCAATACACAAGTGTTCCACAATGTTTTCGCTTTTGATATCTTTATTTATCTTTACTTTCCAGGTCCAGCGATGCTCCTTAAATGTTTTAACTGCCCTGAATGCAAGAAGCCCTTCGATTGCCAAACTGGCAAGGCGCACACGCCAATGACCACGCCGATCGTCAAATGCGCAACCTGCGTCCGCAACAAAAAAGCGAAGCCCTTCGTCGCCCTGATCAAGTTCCTCGACCAGCCAGGGCTCAAGCTACGCCTTCGACGTGGATGGGTGTCCGAGGCGGCCGTCAAGCTGCCGGAATGTTCCGTTTGCGAAGAGGACCTCAATACCACTGCGCGCGCATTTTACCACGGATGCGGCCAGATTCGTTGCTACAAATGCAAGGAGGCTGGCACGGAGTGCTATGCAGAACGGCAAGATGATGCCTTGCAAAACCAACCACACGTTCCGCAGGAGCTGAACAACAACTCGCAGGAGACGGATCCGGACGTTAAAGGGATCCAGGATGAATCCGGAAATGAAAGCGGTGATGAGTATTCGGACGCTCAGCCGATCATCAAGTCCGCCGACAACGACACAACGTCTCCCCACAATGACAACTCACTGTCCGTCGATGGCGGCGATCTGTGTGGTGCTGACGACCCTCGCTGGTACCGTTGCGACGTCCTGACGCAGTTTTTTGAAAGTAAGATCCTACTATATATAAAAAAATAGTGTCTGTCTGTGTTGCATTTGCATGCAACTTCCGTGAGGTTGTCTCTCACCTACAGCCTCAGGGGAAGGTTTTTAGGGTACGTATGATACGTCATGAGGTGCGTAATGGTGCCGAGATGAGTGCACACGAATCAAAGCTTTGAAAAATTACTGTTTTCGTTATTAAAATTGAGTTTTTGTCAGAAATATCGGAAAATCTCTTTGTTAGGAGCCAATTTGCATGCACCGGAAGTGGGGAAAGCCTATATAAGGGGGTAGAGGGGTCCTTTTCAGTTTTTTGCAATCAAGGTTGGGGAAGAAATATGTGTGCGCTAGACGGGGCCAGGGTTGAAAAGCCGCGAAGCGGTTTTTCAACCCTGGTACTTTTATTAATTTGGTCTTTCTACAACTGTTGTAGTGCTAGATGGCAACTTCTTTAGTCCGAAGGTTCGACGGAATTTGTAGAGCTCGCGTCGTCGAACAAATTTTTGAGTTCGGGTACGCTTAGAAACGATTTTAAACGGGCTTTACTTACGTAGTAAACATACAGTTTAGGACTCAACATAGTAAAAGGACAAAATTGAATTATTGGTTCTTAGTAGCATCGTTAACGCTTAAAATGTTAATTTCGGCTATGTACTACCTTATTAACGCGTACACGAGTTGCCTCTTTAGTTGCTTACAGTGTACAATTCATAAAAACGCGTTTCCAAAAATGACTATGGTTGCTCAAACTTTACAAATTTTTTGGAACGACCGAACGCTCTCGATTTACACGAATTATGCATACAAGTGGTCGTGCTAACAAATTCCGAAGCTTTTGTATTCCTATCTAATTTGTTTTTTCAGCGTACTTCATGGGAGTCGGCGCCAGGCAAGAGGAGAACGACGCCCGTGCTCGCGAGAAGAAAGGTTTCCTGAAGGTGTGCGAGACGTGTGACGCGGAAGAGCCGGTGGACAACATGCTGTACTGCAACGAGTGTAAGCAAACGATTTGCGGGGTGTGCTGCCATGATGCCCACTCGCATCACGACGCCGTCAAGCTGTTCAAGAGCGAGCTGAAGAAGCTGGTGTGGGCCAGGAACAAGGACCTCGACGACGAGCTTAGCCACCTGCCAGAGGAGGCGGAGAGGCTCCATACAGGATTCGAAGCTGCCCTCAGGAAATTTATGGCCGCTGGTAGGAAGCGCGCCCGGCAGCTGCAAGCCATGGATCGTTTTGTGCCGGCCAAGCGCTCATCTAACATAATCGAAAAATTTGTGGATGAAGCTGTCCAGATCTGGAAGCGCCATAAAGAGTGCACCGAGGAATTTACGGACATAATGAAGAAGAGGACGCGCGAGTTGGACCCGGAGGATCGCCCGACGACCTCGCGAGCCTCGCAGCGCCACTAATAATTTGCATTGACATTTTGCACATTGGCCAATATTTGTTGCTCGATTAATAATTTGTTATGCTTTGATGAATAAATGCACGTGTTGTTTGAGGACGGCATTTTGAGCAGAGACAGCAGGGTTTAGACAGAAAATTGCTGCGCTTTAACGTTTAGAGATACACGCCTTTAGTGGCGGTAGACAATCTGCGAGCTGCGCTTCTTTCAGCTGTGGTCTTGTTCAATCTTGTAGATTCAGCCTCGTCCAACGTGGAATGGCTGATTTGTTGACGCGTTTCGTGGAATTGCGAGTATTTGGGTGGCAAATCTTGAATTTTTGATGCGTGACTAGTTTGGCGCGGTTTTGAATATGATGTAGTTAGCTATTTTGGTATGATTTCTGAATTTTGAAGCCAAGATTAGGATCAGAAACGATAGAGTTTTTAATAGTGGAAAACCCGAGTTCTTTCGCATTATCGAGGGGGGGGGGGGCATTTTTTTCTTAGGATCTAATTTTTGAAATATAAATAATCGAGGGTTTTACTAATGGGATTTTTACTATTCTTAAACGTGAAAAATTTAGAAAATTACAAAAAATAAAGATTTTTCGACCAAAATTTCTACATTTTTGAAGTTTTTAGATGATTTTTCGGCGCTATTTCGGAATAGGGGACCCACTTTTATTATACCAAAACTGGGATTTGTGCGATGTTTTCCTGGATAGTTTTGCGCGCTGGTTCCGAAAAAACACCTCACTAACTTTAAAACCTAACATTTTCACAAAAAAAATTGATTTTAGTTTAATGGGCTGCTAGGGAACCTAGCGGCCCAGGCCCGACTTTTGGCTACAATACACTCCCTAGCTACGTTTTTGAGGCTTAAACGTATGCATAAATAATGCTAAATGCTAGCAAGCCCGATATGCTAGCAAGCCCGATCTTAGATTCATTGAGACCAAGCCTAGGCGACCCTGATCTATGTTAACGTGAGTAGAGCCCACCTGTAAACTAGGCCGGCTCTTCGCCCCTGTAACGTAAAGTAAGATCGCGATAAGCTGTTATTAAAACACGGAAGCGTGTGTGTTCCAATACCTAGATTATACTTAGCGCACTTAACGCACTGGGACACCGTATTTCGGAACAAGCGCGCAAAATTACACCAGAAGAAGTGGTTTTTAGAGTAATCAAAGTGGGTCCCCTATTCCGAAATAACGCCTTCCTGACTTATATATATCATACAAAAAGGTTCGCCCCCTCCGATAATGCGAAAGAACCTTTCAAAAAATTTTCATTTTTCTAGCCGATTTTCTTTTTATTGCTTGCATAGCCCTTTTTTACGTTCGTCAGATTTCAAAAAACATGGCATCCATTAGCCATCCCCCGGAGCGTCAATTTCAATGACCGTTTCGCTAAATGGGGGCCACGGCGGGCGCGGGAGAATTCCGAAATTAGAGGCCCCGAGACATTCACGATGAAGCGGGCGAGAACACGCGAAGTAGAGAAAACAACGTCTTTTCCGCGAACGAGGGGGCGTGTGCCGCGCTGTGGGCTATCGATCGCCGGCGACGTCATCCGGGGTGGGCCCTCTCGTGGGGGCCCGCCGAGGCCCATCCACGGGTTCCACCCTAGGCCCCACTCCTGATGGCGGCCCGAATGAGGTGCGGCCGCACCCTCCCGCTACTCCTCGTGCCGCTGCTGGCCGCCCTGGTGGCTGCAGCGCCCACACAACCAGATGAATGGAAACAGTAAGTTGCAGGGGTGGTTTTGGTATACTTTTTGTGGGGTTTCATGTGATGAAGCCTGTTGGTTTTTGGTTTGAAAGAATCGGGTTTTGACGTAGTTTTCCCGCGTTTCTTTGAGAAGGAGCTACGCGGTTTTGGCGGAAAACCCCAGTTATAATTCTTGCTAGATTTGACTAAAGTCCGATCTTTTTTCGATTTGCCTTTTTTGCCCTTTTCGGTTTTCCTAGGGACTTTTCAAACCCTAGAAGGTTTTTTTTCGTTTCAGATTGAGTGGCTTCTTAGTTTGACTTAATAAGATTCTTAGAGGTATTAGTATAGGTTTTGGAGTTTGAAGATTTTTTGATTAGGTTTTCGTCGGAGTTGATGTTTGAAAATTCCGTTTTATCCTGGTTTTTATGAGGTTTTCTAGGGGGTTTGTGTCGGAAAAACCAGGTTCTGGCGTTAGTTTAATAACGGAATATACGTTGTAGTTCCTCTAAGCCAAATTTTGTAAAGCTTTTTAAGGGTTTTCCATTGATTTTTTGCGTTTCCGGGGCGTTAGCTTGGTACGATTATGTGGTAGATTTTTACGCTGCCTTCTTTTTCATGCCATCTAGATAGTCTCCAACCTTATTTCGGAGCTGTGTTTGTACGAAAGGTTGTGGATATTACCACTAGATTTACCAAATTATCCGTTGTCTCAATCTTTGACCTCCCATCCACCAAATTATCACCCCAAAACCCCAAAAATGCGACTTCTCCCCGAGCCGGAGCACATCCATAAAATATTTGACGTTCGTCGCGCCGCATGCTGATTAGTGCGGTGGACGGGCCCGAAAAAGGGCAAGGAGCGCGACGGAAGTGGAATTTTCTTGTGCTCGGCATTTTCTCGGGTTTTCCCTTATGAATGCCCTGATTCTCCCCGCGCTTCATTAGGCCAGCGGGAGCGCGAGACTCCTCGCACGTCCCTCTCCCCTGATTGGCTGTGATTCGGCATTCAGAATTCTGTCAGAATTTTGGATTCTGATCTCGGAGAAGGGCGTTGTTTTGAAGTTAGCTGGCTTGAAAATCGGGAGCTAAAAATGGAAGGTTTTGAATTTTTGGTTTAAAGGAAGATATTTTGGGTTGCTTGAGGTTCGTATTCGGGCCTAAAACGTGGTAAAAACTTGCCCTCGTATCTTGTTTTAATTAATAAGCCCAATTTTCCTGGGATTTCTGGTAAATACAATTACGGGCCCTTGAAATTCACGTAAAACCGGGTTGAAAAGTTTTATCAGAATGTGAATTTGGGCACGAACTCTCGTTCTAATTAAGATCCTTTCAAATCCGATGAGAACGCTCTGACTCTGAGAAATATCTTGTTTTCAAGGTCTGCCTAAGGTAGCGCATAGCTTGAAAGTAGCAAGAAGACCCCGCCGACCTTATCGAAAATGCAAGAAGCGTGGGAGGGGGAGGAGGAGCGCGACTTCTAGAATTGCGCCTAAGCTGGGAGGTATTTTTAGAGTTTTTAATGGATTTTCAAGGATCCAACTAGCCAATTAAAGGGCAAAAAATTTATTGGTATCTGGCACAAATTTATTTGTATTTCTATTTATATGTTTTTGCTTTCTCTACCTACTCAAAAAGCCAAGCGTCAAGGTTGGGGCCCTGAAATCACCGGTAACCAGCGTTCTAGGTTGGCCCTCCAGGCCTATTGCTTTTTCTAGGACACTCGAAAATAGGCGACGCTACAACCGACACCAAAAAACACTTTTTTCCAGGTACCACTCCCACGAGGCGCTGACCGAGAAGTTGACCGAGATCAACGAGAAATGCCCAGATGTGAGTTGAGTTTGAATTTGAGAAAGGGAGAGAGTGACAGAGAGAGAGAGTGAGAGAGAGAGAGAGAGAGGGAGAGAGCGAGTGGGAGAGAGAGAGAAAATTAGTCCCATGTTTTAGATCACCACTGTCTACTCCATCGGCCAATCTGTCGAAGGCCGCGAGCTTTTGGTCATCCACTTTTCTTCTACCCCCGGATCGCACGAAATTTGTAAGTGCTTTTTCTGCGCGCTTTTGATGCCAAAATTACGGCTTGACGTACGTAATTTATGGGGTTTTATACTTGCTATTTCTTGCCCTCCAGTGAACGAGTTAGCATGTGAAATTCTCCTTTCCTTTCCTTTGGCAATGTCGAACGAGCAGGAGAGAGAGAGAGAGAGAGAGAGAGAGAGAAAGAGAGAGAGAGAGAAAGAGAGCGAGAGAGAGTAAGAGAGAGATTGTAATTCCACCCGCTGAGATTTTAGCCTTTAAAAATGACATTTCCAATCCTTGTTTTCCTTCAGACTCGAGCTCAATTTTTTCAGTGAAACCCGAGATGAAATACGTCGGAAATATGCACGGAAATGAGCCCGTCGGACGGGAATTGATCATCCGGTAGGTCTCGTGACAGAGAGGGAAAGTTAAGATTGGTTTTTGAAGCAGAAAAATGTGGTAAATGGCTTTATAATATACGAAATGTCTTGCTTATTTTTTCTGCTGATCACCGGCTTTCAGATTGGCCGACGAGCTGTGCAACGGCTTCAAGAACAAGGACAAGGAGATTATCTCCCTCCTCAACTCGACCTCCATCCACCTCCTACCCTCGATGAACCCCGACGGGTTCGAGCTGGCCCTGGAGACGGTGAGTTGACTCTAGGATACCGATACGCTAAATGAAGACAAATTGCTTTTCATTCATTTTTAAAACATTTTTTAATTTATTTAACAAATAGAATATACATAAAATGGTTATAAATAAAAAAGATAAGTACTCGAAAAAATTTAACTTCATTTTTAAAACTCATCAGACGGTAAAAAATCACGGTTTTTCAAACCTCGTCCGTCACGGTATTTTAATCTCAGAAAGTTTATTGTTTCCAAGGCCTATTTTCTTATTTTCAGCCCGCCGCCGAGCGCCAGTGGCTGACCGGCCGCGCCAACGCCAACGGCCTGGACTTGAACAGGTGAAAATCCTAAAGATAAGACCACATATCGTCATTTTGTTATTCCGTCCCAATCCTAAGTAATGCGAATATTTTCGCCGGCAACATTATGCCGGTTAAAATTCGGTTAATCCGCAGCGGAAAAAGGGGCCGGAAGGGGCAATTTCCGGTTGGTGGAGAAGGCGCGAGATTTTGGGTGGTGTCTATGAAATAATCCAATTCCAAACGCCACTCGGCCTCGGGGAATTTCATTAGGCGGCTGATATCGGGGAGGTTGGAGAGGCACGAACAAAAAAAAGAGAAGAAATGAGTTGAGCCTGACCTGTTCAAGGAAACGTA